TTTTATAACGTGAATCGTTAAGATTGTTTTTTCTACGAGTTTATGATGTGTGATGTCAGGGAAACAAGTGCAATTGTCTACGATTTTTTACCTAAAGGAAGTACTAATGCTGTTCCGTTGTTTTTGTTGATGCCGTAATTTATTTTTCTGCTTCTGTGGGAATCGCCATTAACGCGAATAAAATTTGCCTCCCCGCACCAAAACGGAGTCGAACTTGTCCTCTGACAAGTAGGGGGTGTAAAAATTGCCGGCTGTATCGCTTAACAACCCCTACGTTATGTGGGTTAGCAGTGGCATATCAAAGTCAGCTGTTTCTCTCGTGCTTGGGGGACGTTTTAGCAGGTCGATACCGAAAGTCGCGTTCTTCTAAATGGGTTTTCTTAACGTGCGAGAACAGATCGGATTTGTAAAAAGATACGGGCACGTGCTTTATTCATTAGGAAAAGTACAAATGCAAAACTTCAAGCCAGAGGCGACCATATCAGAAGCGTAGTCAACTACAATCTGGTACTTATCGAAATCAAATTGCATCAAACGCATTCTTTAGTATCCTTTGGTAATTTAAAATTATAAGATCAAGGAAAAGAAATGTATAACTGGTTTGTCAGTTTTTTGCATCAAAATCATGAAAATGTGGCCAAAATTTAATCTGGTTTTTCCTGTAAGTAGTATAAAATCAGAAAGGATGGCTCATTTTTTGCTCAGTACAATTCGAATTTTTTCGATCAGACTTCTCAATTAAAAGTTATAGGCTAGAAACCAATTTCGAAAAAAAAATTCAAAGGGCTGTAACTTTTGAACTAGTAGCCCAATCTTGGAACTGTTTGAAATTATGGATTCTACAGGCGACATTTCTATAAGAAAATTTTTTCCGGGTCGATCTGAGACAATTTTTTTTGGGTTTCAAAAAAAAGGCAGGTGTTACCGCTTCCTTTTTTTTACCAAAATCGAACTGCCCCAAATTTCTCGGGAAAACAATTTTTCCAATTTTAAATTTTGGTGCCGTAGAATCCAAAAACAATTCGTACTTTTTCGATTAGACTTCTCAATCAAAAGTTATAGACTAGAAACCAATTTCGAAAGAAAATTCAAAGGGCTGTAACTTTTGAACTATTAGCCCAATCTTGGAACTGTTTGAAATTATGGATTCTACAGGCCACATTCTATAAGAAAATTTTTTTCCGGGTCGATCTGAGACAATTTTTTTTGGGGGGCTCAAAAAAATGCAGTGTATACCCTTCCTTTTTCACCAAAAATCGACTGCACCAAAATTTCTCGGGAAAACACTTTTTCCAATTAATTTTGGTGCGTAGAATCCAAAACAATTCGTACTTTTTCGATCAGACTTCTCAATTAAAAGTTATAGACTAAAAACCAATTTCGAAAAAAATTCAAAGGGCTGTAACTTTTGAACTAGTAGCCCAATCTTGGAACTGTTTGAAATTATGGATTTTACAGGCCACATTCTATAAGAAAATTTTTTTCCGGGTCGATCTGAGACAATTTTTTTTTGGGGTTCAAATAAAGGCAGTGTATACCCTTCCTTTTTTACCAAAAATCGACTGCACCAAAATTTCTCGGGAAAATACTTTTTCCAATTAATTTTGGTGCGTAGAATCCAAAACAATTCGTACTTTTTCGATCAGACTTCTCAATTAAAAGTTATAGACTAGCAACCAATTTCGAAAAAAAATTCAAAGGGCTGTAACTTTTGAACTAGTAGCCCAATCTTGGAACTGTTTGAAATTATGGATTTTACAGGCCACATTCTATAAGAAAATTTTTTTTCCGGGTCGATCCGAGACAATTTTTCTATCGGGCCTCAAAAAAAGACAGTGTATAACCTACCTTTTTTTTTTACCAAAAATCGACTACACCAAAATTTCTCGGGAAAACACTTTTTCTTATTAATTTTGGTGCGTAGAATCCAAAACAATTCGTACCTTTTCGATCAGACTTCTCAATAAAAAGTTATAGACTAGAAACCAATTTCGAAAGAAAATTCAAAGGGCTGTAACTTTTGAACTAGTAGCCCAATCTTGGAACTGTTTGAAATTATGGATTCTACAGGCCACATTCTATAAGAAAATTTTTTTTCCGGGTCGATCTGAGACAATTTTTTTTTCGGGGCTCAAAAAAAGGCAGTGTATAACCTTCCTTTTTTACCAAAAATCGACTGCACCAAAATTTCTCGGGAAAACACTTTTTCTTATTAATTTTGGTGCGTAGAATCCAAAACAATTCGTACTTTTTCGATCAGACTTCTCAATCAAAAGTTATAGACTAGAAACCAATTTCGAAAGAAAATTCAAAGGGCTGTAACTTTTGAACTAGTAGCCCAATCCTGGAACTGTTTGAAATTATGGATTCTACAGGCCACATTCTATAAGAAAATTTTTTTCCGGGTCGATCTGAGACAATTTTTTTTTCGGGGTTCAAAAAAAGGCAGTGTATAACCTTCCTTTTTTACCAAAAATCGACTGCACCAAAATTTCTCGGGAAAACACTTTTTCTTATTAATTTTAGTGCGTAGAATCCAAAACAATTCGTTCTTTTTCGATCAGACTTCTCAATCAAAAGTTATAGACTAGAAACCCTGACCTATCGTCTACTTTCTTCCACAAACCGTTTAGCATCCAGAGCTCGCAGAAAGGGTTACCAGATCCCTTTCTCCGTACTGCAGAGAAAATAGCACCGGGGGGTCTGGGGAGTATGGAATACCATACCTCCTAGGAACGAAAAGGTCGATGGCCATTTCTAGAAACTGCAAATTCATGAAAAAAAGTATCACTTTCAAAACTAGGTGTACAAATAACTATTGGAGAACTGATCTTAAACTTTACACTTTCAGTACGAAATTCTGAAAGGGCTGGAGGGGGGTTTGGAAAATAATTCTCTAGTATATTTCCATGCAGGACGCTTGGGGAAATCTTCAAGAAATTGTATCTTCAGATTCTACGAATTCTTGGGTATTTTTGGATTGCTCGGATTACTCAAATACTTTTGAAGTAATTCAGCAATATCTTTAAAAGTACCTTCAGATATATTCAATGATACTTCAAGCCCTTCATAGATTATTCAAATCCTTCACGTAACTTTCTGATCATATAGAGAGAGTCGTTTCATCTTTCAAAGATCTATAAGATTCTTCAGAATTCCTTAATTTCATTCGGATAATCAGTCCGTTTTGATTTTTAAGTTTTTCTAGTTCAGATCTTCCAAATCCTTGGATCCTTCAGATCTTTCGGATGCTTCCGATCCTTCAGCATTTTCGACTTCGTGAATTCGTTCGGCGAGTTTCCATTGAAACTTGCATTTAAATTATGATGTGTTTAAAGGAAGAATCAATAAGTGCCAACTTGGTCACGGGATTATTATTTCAGCGAAAAGATTCAGCAAACACGAATTTGCTGGCAAGCTTTTCCAATTTAAACTAATTGAATATCCCAAAAACTAATCACCGTTTTGAGTCCTAAAAACGTCCACGTCAACGCGATTGATGACCGCCATTATCAAAATTAGGCGAGAAATAAACGTCGTAGACAAAATTAGGTGTAAGTGTCACACTACCGGCGGACTTAATTAAAAATTAGTGTTGGATTCATAATGCCATTACTAACCGCGATCTATTAATTAAGAGCTGAAAAAACAGTAGCCCGAAGATTCTCGGAAGTACCATCAAGTTTTCATTATTAATAAAATTCTTTTTTTTATATAATTTATTTTTATTCCGATTTCGTGACGAGAAGCTTAAGTTCCCACGTCTAAACGTTTCTGTTGTTATCAGAAGCTTATTGCCGCTTTACGAGCAACCGTTGACAAGCCAAGAAAACAATAAATCAAAATAAATTGTTGAAATGGCCATCTTTGTTAATATTCTGATTCTTCGAATTGAAAATTATATTTTGATCTCAAGCGGCGATAAAAAATTAAATTATTTTCGTGAACGTCGCTGACCCCCTGGCCGAGCAAGATGTTTATCGACTCCTTGTCTTTTCTTATAACAAAATAATTAGTTGTTTGAACTGGAATAAACGTACGGCTTGTTAATTTTTAAAATCACAAAGAGAATTCGAGGGACATTTTCGACATCTCCATTTACGAGCGGGCTACCGTTTAACATTTTTATGTTTAAAGGCTAATTTCGTATTATGTAAGATGGCGTAACAAATTCTCCCGCCGCCTCCTCTTACACGCAATAAACGACAAAGACGAAATGTAGAGAAACTAATTAAGCGACACATAAAAAATATAATAAATATTTTGACAACCTGGTACTAGTTTCTCGCCGAATAAATCAACCAAAAACGAGTAAATTGTTCTAAGAAATCGTACCAAAATTTTTTAAGTCAAAGGTTATGATTAACTGACTTTTCGGCCATGGGAAAACAAGGCGCAAGCGAAGTATAAATAAATTACGAAAGTCTCTCATTGTTTCTAAATTTATTGTCAAGTTGAACCGTAATCATTAATTTTATTACAATTTTTTGAATAAAATGAGTTGCATAAACTTTTAATTTATCGCTACAATACAATTCGCACGTTCCTATTTTAATAATTTTATCAACAATTTATAATAATATATTTCATCAGGTGAAACCTTTTTTATTAATTTATTGTGCATATTCGCACGTTTCGCAATCTCCTTAATTTATTTTACTAGCTTGAGATTGTTGCAAAAGTAATTCACAAAAAAATCCTTATTTTTATTAACTATAAATTCCATTTCTGTATTCACGTGAATTATTAATTTGTCTGTGTGAACAAGGTCTCGCTATGCTAATTTTCCATTATCTTTGAATCCCGAAAATTAATATACACATTGAACGGTTCCACATTATTCATTTTATTTATCATTTCGTAGTACCTATTTGCAATTGTTTTTTGAACTTCTGTACCACCAATTTTTGCAATCAAAATAAAATAAAGGCCAAAATACACTACCTGATAATTCTAGTAAAATCTCCAAAAAGTGCTAATTTTCACCCTTATTGTTGCAGATAAACCCCCACGTGTTGGATCAATGCCTAGAAACAGGAGTGTGGTAGTTTTCGGGAACATGTAATCGAATTTTCGTATACTGGGGGGTATATTTCTTTTGCTGGGGGTGTATCACAGACCCTCGGCACAAGATTTTCCCACAGAAGCTTCCAGCTTTAAGAGCTTTTCGATATTTTTTTGGGAAAGGACAGTGCCGGTGGGTCTTGAGGAGTGTGGAATAACCCTTTCCTCCTGCCCTCAATAGAAAGATCGATAACTATTTTGCACATCTGTTTACTATGACTGCTAACCTTTATTGTGGAAAATGCCCCTACATCTGTGGCACAGCACTAGAAAACCAAGCAGGACCCTGGAATATTACTTTAAAGTGTTAGAAGATCTTGGAAAATTTTATTTCCCCAATGATTAATATTTCCCTTTAAGTTTTTATACGCCTTTTTATTATGGTTGCTAATATTCACATTTATTGTTTCAGATTTTCTCGTTCGTGTAGGACCACTGCTTAGAAGTAGGATTGACGTGGGAAAATTAGTTTCCTTTTGCTGGACGTGCTTGGGAAAAAGTATTTCCCCTCCAATCGTAACTTTCCTTTATTTTTTTGCTAATTTTCACGCTCATTGTTTCAGATTAACCACCACGCGTGGAACCACTGCTTTATACGTCGGAGAAAAGCTGGAAAATTGGTCTCCTTTTACCGGAAGCGCTTGGAAACATATATTTCCCTTCCCAGTGTAGTTTTGCTTCACGTTCTTTACTTTTTTTTACTACAAATGCTAATTTTCACCCTTATTGTTTCAGATTAACCCCCACGCGTGGAACCACTGCTTTATACATTGGATTTACGCTGGAAAAGTGATCTCCTTTTACTACCATTTACTACCAGTGCTTGGAAACATAAGTTTCCCTTCCAAGTGTGATTTTTCTTTACGTTCCTTACGTTTTTTTTTACTACGAGGCTAATTTTCGCCCTTATTGTTTCAAATTAACCCCCACACGCGGAACCACTGCTTTATACGTTGGATTCACGCTGGAAAATTGGTCTCCTTTTACCGGAAGTGCTTGGAAACATATATTTCCCTTCCAAGTGTAATTTTTCTTTAAGATCCTTACGTTTTTTTTACTACAAGTGCTAATTGTCACCCTTATTGTTTCAGATTAACCGCCACGCGTGACCACTGCCTTATGCGTTGAATTCACGCTGGAAAATTGGTGTCCTTTTACCGGAAGTGCTTGGAAACATATATTTCCCTTCCAAGTGTAATTTTTCTTTACGTTCCTTACGTTTCTTTACTAAGAGTGCTAATTTTCACCCTTATTGTTTCAGATTAACCCCCACGCGTGGAACCAGTGCTTTATACGTTGGAGACACGCTGGAAAATTAGTTTGCTTTTACCGGAAGCGCTTGGAAAGATATATATCCCTTCCAAATGCAATTTTTCTCTACGTTCCTTATTTTTTTTACTAGGAGTGCTTATTTTCACCCTTATTGTTTCAGATTAACCTTCACGCGAGGAACCACTGCCTTATACGTTGGATTTACGCTGGAAAATTGATTTTCTTTTGCGGAAAGTGCTTGGAAACATATATTTCCCATCCAAGTGTAATTTTTCTTTACGTTCCTTACGTTTTTCTTACTACGAGTGCTAATTCTCACCCTTATTGTTTCAGATTAACCCCCACGCGTGGAACCAGTGCTTTATACGTTGGAGACACGCTGGAAAATTGGTCTTCTTTTACCGGAAGTGCTTGGAAACTTATATTTCCCATCCAAGTGTAATTTTTCTTTACGTTCCTTACGTTTTTTTTTACTACAAATGCTAATTTTCACCCTTATTGTTTCAGATTAACCCCCACGCGTGGAACCACTGCCTTATACGTTGGATTTACGCTGGAAAATTGATTTTCTTTTGCGGGAAGTGCTTGGAAACATATATTTCCCTTTCAAGTGTAATTTTTCTTTACGTTCCTTACGTTTTTTTTACTACAAATGCTAATTTTCACCCTTATTGTTTCAGATTAACCCCCACGCGTGGAACCGCTGCTTTATACATTGGATTTACGCTGGAAAAGTGATCTCCTTTTACTACCATTTACTACCAGTGCTTGGAAACATAAGTTTCCCTTCCAAGTGTGATTTTTCTTTACGTTCCTTACGTTTTTTTTTACTACGAGTGCTAATTTTCGCCCTTATTGTTTCAAATTAACCCCCACACGCGGAACCACTGCTTTATACATTGGATTTATGCTGGAAAATTGGTCTCCTTTTACCGGAAGTGCTTGGAAACATATATTTCCCTTCCAAGTGTGATTTTTCTTTACGTTCCTTACGCTTTTTTTTAACTACGAGTGCTAATTTTCACCCTTATTGTTTCAGATTAACCCCCACGCGCGGAACCACTGCTTTATACATTGGATTTACGCTGGAAAATTGATCTTCTTTTACTGCAAGTGCTTGGAAACATAAGTTTCCCTTCCAAGTGTGATTTTTCTTTACGTTCCTTACGCTTTTTTTTAACTACGAGTCCTAATTTTCACCCTTATTGTTTCAGATTAACCTCTACGCGTGGAACCACTGCTTTATACGTTGGAGACACGCTGGAAAATTGGTCTCCTTTTACCGGAAGTGCTTGGAAACGTGTATTTCCCTTCCAATTGTAATTTTTCTTTACGTTCCTTACCACTGCTTTATACGTTGGATTTCCGCAGGAAAATTGGTCTCCTTTTACCGGAAGTGCTTGGAAACATATATTTCCCTTCCAAGTGTAATTTTTCTTTAAGATCCTTACGTTTTTTTTACTACAAGTGCTAATTGTCACCCTTATTGTTTCAGATTAACCGCCACGCGTGACCACTGCCTTATGCGTTGAATTCACGCTGGAAAATTGGTGTCCTTTTACCGGAAGTGCTTGGAAACATATATTTCCCTTCCAAGTGTAATTTTTCTTTAAGATCCTTACGTTTTTTTTACTACGAGTGCTAATTTTCACCCTTATTGTTTCAGATTAACCCCCACGCGTGGAACCACTGCTTTATATGATGGTTGGGAACATTTCTCGGGTAATCGAATCTTCGGATAGTCAGGGGTATCTTTCTTTTGTTGGGGGGTAATCCAAACCCCCCGGTACATGATTTTCTTGTCGTTTTTGCTGGGAAAGGACAGCAGTAGGTACCTGGTGATGGTCTGGGGGGTATGGAATACTCCCAATCAGAAGAAAGATCCATAACTAGTTTCCCCTTGTCCTTATGTCCTTATGGAAGTTTTCGGAAAAGGTCTCTTTAGTATGATTGCTAATATACACATCTATTGTTTCAGATTTTCTCCTTCGTGTGGAACCACGAGGATTGACGCTGGAAGAGGCCACCTTTTGCTGGAAAAATTTATTTCCTGCTAAATTCTAATTTTATTATGATTCTTATACTTTTTTTTACTGTAATTGCTAATACTCACTTTTATTTTGCAGATTAATCCCCACATGCAGAACCAGAATGAGCGTTAGAAAATTCGCTTTTTTCTGCAGGTGCCTTAAATTATTAATTTTTGCTTTAAAATTACAGGTCCGACATCTATTTGCTGAAAACCACACTTTTTTCTGTTTTTATACGAATATGTAAATGTAAAAATTGCACTTTAATAAAGAATAGGTATAATCGGGGCAGTCTTTTCTTACATTCGACCTGGTTTGCGGGAGTATTAATTTATTCACGTCAAGTGAGGAACTATTTCACTGTGAAAAATGTGCAAAACTTTGCAAATCTTAATGGCCATTACGATCGACAATAAATTTCATTAATCGGAGATTTTGAGCATGCATCCCCCAAATGGAGCGCATCTCGCAATATTCCAGATTCCAGTCTATACGTCTTGATTCACTGTTTAAATGTTTTTGTCGCTACAAGATCTACGACTACGTTAATTTCTTAGGCAAGAAATATAACTTTCTACCCCTTTACTTTCCGCTGTAAAAAAAGCATTGGCGTTCAACTTGGCGCAGATCGCTATCGAATTATAAGATTTATACGTTTGCTATCGATTTCGAAATTTTCAACACGTCGTCGCGTCTCGTTTCGTAACTGGAAACCGCAATTCGCGTTTTTTTTTATATTAATCGCCGGCTATCGATTATTTTATTACATTAAATTCGAGGACGAGGCTGCGGTTTAAAGTCGAGCTTAAAATGTGGCAGAAGGGACATCATCAGTAAATCCAACCCTTTTTTGCAAGGCATTTAGATTGCAACCCTTTATCTGCTCTTACCAATACTACCGCCCTTATTGTTCCCCTAAAATAATTCCCTAGAATCATTGACGCTTAGCCCTTTTTTAGGGTCTTTAGCACATGTGCACCTATACAAGAAATTGGTATTGGAAAATTTCGCATCCGTCTTCGTCGATGCGAGGGAAAGCGGTCCACGTGTACGAGACGGATGGAGTTAATGTGTTTTAAAAATTATATCGATTTCGAATATGAAGATGCGGGTATTCTCAACCCCTTCTCTTTGTTTTAACAGTAATGTTTGAGGAGACACAACATTAGCGATAGAATTACTCTTCGGAGGAACGTAAATTCTAATACATTTAGCAATAAGGGTCGGTGGGGGTTTTTTCGGTGCAATTATTATTATCGAAGGGGTGCGGTTTCAGGTGAAAAAAAGACGATTGCTATTATAGAAGCGGAAAAGTAAAAGATATACCCTTAACGATCGATGTGTCGAATTGATAGACGACTACAGGGAATTTTATTCCCGTATATGTAGAAGCAAAAATAACTACAAGACCATTCTTTATTCGAACTAGTAGCTTTGAACACACATATGCTGCTTCGCGTATCCGCGGAAACTATCTGCACGCCTTTATGCCGATCTTCATCTCGCGAATGCCCAACGATTTTAAGTGGCGAGAGCGAGTTGAAAAATAATTCGATCAAATGGCGTAAATTCAGTGTAAGGAATGAATATATGCAAACCCCTTTCTTGTAATTTACCGAAATAAACATTAACGCTACTAAAGGCAATAAAATAAATCAAGCGAGCGCAGTATCGCACACAGTTTAAATTGAATATACTCTATGGAATGCTTAGTATTTTGAAAAAATCTATTAAACCGCTGCTGCTGCTGTTTACTTTTTGAAAGTACTGCATGTTTTCATATAATTAAGCATTTCGCGCATGCAACAACGTTAATGTCATAAAAGTTTACGCGTAAAACGGATGGAACCACTGCTAAGTTTTCCGCGTAGTACACAAGGGGTGCGATAAAGAAAAAGGTTAATATAGGCAATAACTTTTACACATAATTTCTTAATACAAGTACTCTATCAAACACAAATTATATTTACAATTGGGGGTGGCGATTGCCACCTGGCCTGTAGATCATAATGGCCCGTTGGAAATTTATAAGTATGTGCTGTATTTAGTTTCTTGCACTACTAATAAATTATTAACACATTTCTTTAATTGGAGTTGGGGTTCTTAAAAAATTATGTTTTAATTGAAGTGTTTTACAATGAATTTATCATTTTTTGTCGTAGCATGAAAGTGCTGAAATACAATGATAGGCGACGCGCCTCGTGTGGATTGTATATTTTGTTACTTTTAATTATCAGCTGCAATTTTTAAAAAAAACTGTATGGTAATTGATTTTCGAGAAAGGAGTACTTTAAAATGTTCTTGTGGTACACCTCAGAGCTGTAACTTTTGAACTAGTAGCCCAATCTTGGAACTGTTTGAAATTATGAATTCTACAGGCCACATTCTATAAGAAAATTTTTTTCCGGGTCGATCTGAGACAATTTTTTTTGCGGGCCTCAAAAAAAGGCAGTGTATAACCTTCCTTTTTTACCAAAAATCGACTGCACCAAAATTTCTCGGGAAAACACTTTTTCTTATTAATTTTGGTGCGTAGAATCCAAAACAATTCGTACTTTTTCGATCAGACTTCTCAATCAAAAAGTTATAGACTGGAAACCAATTTCGAAAGAAAATTCAAAAGGGCTGTAACTTTTGAACTAGTAGCCCAATCTTGGAACTGTTTGAAATTATGGATTCTACAGGCCACATTCTATAAGAAAATTTTTTTTCGCGTAGATCTGAGACAATTTTTTATTCGCGGCTCAAAAAAAGGCAGTGTATAACCTTCCTTTTTTACCAAAAATCGACTGCACCAAAATTTCTCGGGAAAACACTTATTCGTATTAATTTTGGTGCGTAGAATCCAAAACAATTCGTACTTTTTCGATCAGACTTCTCAATCAAAAGTTATAGACTAGAAACCAATTTCGAAAGAAAATTCAAAGGGCTGTAACTTTTGAACTAGTGGCCCAATCTTGGAACTGTTTGAAATTATGGATTCTACAGGCCACATTCTATAAGAAAATTTTTTTCCGGGTCGATCTGAGACAATTTTTTTTTCGGGGCTAAAAAAAAGGCAGTGTATAACCTTCCTTTTTTACCAAAAATCGACTACACCAAAATTTCTCGGGAAAACACTTTTTCTTATTAATTTTGGTGCGTAGAATCAAAAACAATTCGTACTTTTTCGATCAGACTTCTCAATCAAAAGTTATAGACTAGAAACCAATTTCGAAAGAAAATTCAAAGGGCTGTAACTTTTGAACTAGTACCCCAATCTTGGAACTGTTTGAAATTATGGATTCTACAGGCCACATTCTATAAGAAAATTTTTTTTCCGGGTCGATCTGAGACAATTTTTTTCGGGGCTCAAAAAAAGGCAGTGTATAACCTTCCTTTTTTACCAAAAATCGACTACACCAAAATTTCTCGGGAAAACACTTTTTCCTATTAATTTTGGTGCGTAGAATCCAAAACAATTCGTACTTTTTCGATTAGACTTCTCAATCAAAAGTTATAGACTAGAAACCAAATTCGAAAAAAAATTCAAAAGGCTGTAACTTTTGAACTAGTAGCCCAATCTTGGAACTGTTTGAAATTATGGATTCTACAGGCCACATTCTATAAGAAAATTTTTTTCCGGATCGATCTGAGACAATTTTTTTTCGGGGCTCAAAAAAAGGCAGTGTATAACCTTCCTTTTTTACCAAAAAAGACTGCACCCAAATTTCTCGGGAAAACACTTTTTCTTATTAATTTTTGTGCGTAGAATCCAAAACAATTCCTACTTTTTCGATCAGACTTCTCAATCAAAAGTTATAGACTAGAAACCAATTTCGAAAGAAAATTCAAAAGGCTGTAACTTTTGAACTAGTAGCCCAATCTTGGAACTGTTTGAAATTATGGATTCTACAGGCCACATTCTATCAGAAAATTTTTTTTCCGGATCGATCAGAGACAATTTTTTTTCGGGGCTCAAAAAAAGGCAGTGTATAACCTTCCTTTTTTACCAAAAATCGACTGCACCAAAATTTCTCGGGAAAACACTTTTTCTTATTAATTTTGGTGCGTAAAATCCAAAACAATTCGTACTTTTTCGATCAGACTTCTCAATCAAAAGTTATAGACTAGAAACCAATTTCGAAAGAAAAATCAAAGGGCTGTAACTTTTGAACTAGTAGCCCAATCTTGGAACTGTTTGAAATTATGGATTCTACAGGCCACATTCTATAAGAAATTTTTTTTCCGGGTCGACCTGAGACAATTTTTT